CAGGCAATTCTCCTGCCTCAGCCTCCTGAGTAGCTGGGATTACAGGCACACACCACCATGCCCAGCTAATTTTTTGTATTTTTAGTAGAGACGGGGTTTCACCATGTTGACCAGGGTGGTCTCGATCTCTTGACCTCGTGATCCACCCACCTCAGCCTCCCAAAGTGCTGGGATTACAGGTTTGAGCCACCGCGCCCGGCCTGACTATGTATTTTCAAATAGCCTGTCTTTGAGCTCAGTGATTTTTCCTTCTGCTTGATTTGATTTTGCTTTTAAAGAGACTCTGATGTATTTTTCAGTATGTCAATTTTATGTTTCAACTCTAGAACTTCTACCTGAATCCAATTATTTCAATCTCTTTGTAGAATTCATCTGCTAGAATTCTGAATTCTTTCTGTTATCTTGAATTTCTTTGATTTTCCTCATAAAAGCTATTTTGAATGGCCTGAAAGGTCACATACCTGTTTCTCCAGGATTGGTTCCTGGTGCCTTATTTAGTGCATTTGCTAAGGTTCATGTTTTCCTCGATGGTCTTGATGCTTGGGGAAGTTCATCAGTGTTTGGGCGTTGAAAGTGAGGTTTTCATTGTTGTCTTCACCATCTAGGCTTGTCTGTATTCATCTTCCTTGGGAAGGCTGTCCAGGTATTCAGAAGGACTTGGGTATTGTGATCTAAGTCGTATCTGCATCAGGGGACATCCCAAGCACAGTAATGCTGTGGTTCTCAGACTCATAGTGATAACACCTTGGTGGTCTTGATATGATCCAGAAGACTTCTGGGTTACCAGGCAGAGACTCTTGTTCACTTACTTTCTGTCTCTCTCTGTGCTGGGCCACCTGGAGCTGGGTTTGGAGTGACGACAAGCACCCCTGTGGTGACCACCAGTGGGACTGCACTAGGTCAGACCTGAAGCCAGCACAGCACTGGGTTTGCTCAAGGCCGCCTGTGACCACCACCAGGCTACCACCTATGTTGGCTCAGGGTCCTATGGCTCTACAGTCAAGTGGCAAGGCAGCCAGACTTGTGTCCTTCCCTTCAGGGCCAATAAGATGCCTCAGGCCCTGAGCAGGTGTGGAGATGCCATTCAGGAGCCAGGGACTGCAGTCAAAAATTGTAGAAACCAACCTGGTGTACTGCTGTACTGTGGCTGAGCTGACACTCAAACCATGTGATGCAGACCCTTTTATCCTTCTTCTTTCTTTTTTCTTTTTCAAGGCAGTCTTGCTCTGTTGCCCAGGCTGGAGTGGTGGCACAATCTCAGCTCACAGCAGCCTCTATCTCCTGGGTTCAAGTGATTCTCCTGCCTCAGCCTCCCAAGTAGCTGGGATTGCAGGTGTCCACCACCACACACCAGCTAATTTTTGTATTTTTAGTAGAGATAGGGTTTCACCAGGTTGGCCAGACCTCCTGACCTCAAGTGATCCACCCGCTTCGGCCTCCCAAAGTCCTGGGATTCCAGGCATGGGCCACTGCACCTGGTCCCCTTCTCTTTCTACGCAGAGAGGAGCCTCACCCCGTAGCCGCCGCCACCACAGGCCCATAGGAAGTATTGCTGGGCTACTGCCAGTGTTCCGTTCAGGTCCATGGGCTCTTCAGTCAGCCTGCAGTGAATGCTGCCAGACCTAGGAATCGCCCTTCAGGGCAGCGTGCTCCACTTTGGCCCAAGGAAGTTCCAGAAATGCCATCACGAGCCAAGACCTGGGATTGGGGACCCCAAAATCCTGCTTGGTGCTCTACCCCACTGTGGCTGAGCTGGTACCTAAGGTGCAAGACGAAGTCTCCTTTACTTTTCCTCTGCTTGTCTCAAGCAGAAGTCTCTCCCCAGAGCCACAACAGCTGGGAATATGCTGGTTCTCGCCTGAAGCCAGCACGCCTGAGTCTACCCAAGGCCCTCCACATGCTACCTGGTATTATTGCTGGTTCTTCAGGGTCCAAGGGCTCTTTAGTCATTAGGTGATGAATCCTGCCTGGACTGGATCCTTCCCTTCAAAGCAGCAGGTTTCCCTTCTGGCCCAGGGTATGTCTACAAACATCATCCAAGAGCTAGGGCCCAGAATGCGGGCCTCACAATCCTGACTGTTGCCCTCTCCTACTGTAGCTGAGCTGGCATCCAAGATTACAAGACAAAAATCTTTACTCTTCCCTCTTTTCTCCTTCAGCAGAAAGAAGGGGTCTCTTTTGGAGCTTTGAGCTGTGCTGTTTTGGGTTGGGGGAGGGGTGATGCAAGCACTCTTAGCTACCCTGGCTGGTGTCTCAGTAGGTCATGTCCCCCACCCCTCCATCCTCAGTCCACCCGCTCTGAACTCAGATCAGTATTAGGACTTGCCTAGGAATTGCAGTCTTTGTGGCCTAGACTGTTTCTCAGGTTCACTTAGGACCACAGAGCACTCCAGCCCATGATGGTGAGGCTTCCCAGAACTCGGGCTCTGACCACTGGGATGGGCAATTTCCTTCTGGCTAGGGCCAGAATCAAATATTCCCCCTATCAGCGGGCATCAGCTGAGTGCATCCCTGTTGTGCTTTCTGCTGTGACAGGATGGTGTTGATTTTAATGCAAAGCCTCACAGTAGCAACTGTGCTTTCCCTCTCCCAACTTTACCGGCTCTCCCCACCATGCAGGGGTGGGAGAAGGATGATGTCAGCAACTGAAGACTGTTTTTCCTACCTTTAGTGCCTCTTTCAGCAATATAAAGTAAAAACCATACTGAGTGCTTACCTGATGTTTGGTTCCTATGAAGGTGCTCCCTGTGTATACAGATAGTTGTCAAACTTAGTGTTCCTATTGTAGGGATGATCAATGGAGCCCTCTATTTGGCCATCTTGCTCTATCCTTGGTTAATTTTTTTTTTTTTTTTGAGATGGAGTCTTGCTTTGTTGCCAGGCTGAAGTGCAGTGGTGTGATCTCGGCTCACTGCAACCTCTGCCTCCCAGGTTCAAGCCATTCTCCTGCCTCAGCCTCTCAAGTAGCTGAAATTACAGGCCTGCACCACCATACCCAGCTAAGTTTTGTATTTTTGGTAGAGACAGGGTTTTACCATCTTGGCCAGGATGGTCTCAATCTCCTGACCTTGTGATCCATCCACCTGCTTCAGCCTCCCAAAGTGCTGGAATTACAGCATGAGCCCCATGCCCAGCCTGGTTAAATAAATTTTAAGGGTCATTCCTTCCTGGAATAAAGTTCCCACCAAAATACTAAATTTTTAGGAAGCATGTGCTGTTATAGAACAGCATGAAGAGCCAGTCTGAGTCCAACAGCATTGAACAGCTCCAAAAGAAACTTCAAACCAAATAAGTTTATTTGCACAAAGACTAATTCATGAATTGTGCAGCACTCAGAATTGGAAGAGGTTCAGAGAGCTCTGCTACAACAGTGTGAGCAGTGAACTTTTATAGGCTGATGTGAAATAGGACAAAACGCATTGGATCTATTAGAGTGGAAGGACCCTAGCTGGTAGTTGTTAGTTTCTGATTGGTAAAGTCTCTAGCTTTGCTTTACTGTTGACATTGGGATTTGCTTTGCCTACATAGCTACATAGGAACCTAAAGCTCTGGAGCCATCCCCCCACCATGCCCTCTCAATTAAAAAATTTAACACCTGGGAATTCCAGTCCTATTAACCCATGTCTTAATGGGAAAAAAAAACAAAAAACCTAAATTGGCCATTCAAGTTGATAATTGTAACATCTCAAAAGGAGATAGCACAGATTTACAGTGTTCAGGATCTCAGATCGGTTGATCTTTAAAGCTTTATGCCATGTCTTATCATTCTTTTCCAGGTTCAAGCCAATGCAAGTGGAGAGTGGGCAAGAGAAGTAAGAGAAATCCCCTTGCTTTGCCCAGTGCCACTGCATAGCTGGCTCCTGCTCTATAGCAGGCACTGCCGTACACAAGCCATGAACTTAGCGGAGCATCTACAGCATGTCACAGCCCCCATGGGCATAACTATGAGTCCAGCAAGCATGTAAGTGGAACAGAAATGACTTCCAATTTGAAAATTGGTTAACAGTCTTAAAGTATAATACCTAAAATATTAAATTGTAGGAATTGGTCACTGTATCAAAACCTTAAAAATTTGTAAAGTCTAATCTTTAGTCAACAAATATTAAAACAGACTTTGTGAGAGATGGTTTGTGGCTATTAAGATACATGTTGAAGAAGGTATGAGAATCAAAAACTTGATGCGAATGGATGGGGGAATGTTAAGAATTCTCAGTCAAGTTTCCAAAAATGGAACTTAAAAAACTTTCTAGAGCAGTTTTAGGTTTACAGCAAAATTAAGAAGTTAGAGAGACTTCTCATATATATCCTGCCACCAGTAACGCATAGCCTCCCCCATCAACATCCCCTATCGATGTAGTACGTTTGTTGCAACTGATGAGCTACATTGAAATATCATAATCACCCAAAATCCATAGTTTACAATAGGGTTCACTCTTGTTTGTTCTACTGGTTTGGTTAAATGCATGTGACAGGTATCCACCATTGGTTTCATGCAGAGTATTTTTCGCTGCCCTAAAAGTCTTCTGTGCATCACTTAATTATTCTTTCCTTACCACTACCTCCCGCTGCACGACAGCCTCTGAGGACCACTATTTTTTTTTTTTTTATAAACTGTCTCCATGGTTTTGCCTTTTTAGAATGTCACCTAGGCTAGGCGCAGTGGCTCACACCTGTAATCCCAGCACTTGGGGAGGCCGAGGTGGGTGGATCACCTGAGGTCAGGAGTTCGAGACTAGCCTGGCCAACATGGCAAAACCCCATCCCTACTAAAAGATACAAAAAAATTAGCCAGGCATGGTGGCAGTCTCCTGTAATCCCAGCTACTCGGGAGGCTGAGGCAAGAGAATCGCTTGAACCTGGGAGTTGGAGGTTGCAGTGGGCTGAGATGGCACCACTGCACTCCAGCCTGGCAACAGAGCGGGACTTGTCTCACAAAAAAAAAAAAAAAAAAAAAGGGGGCTGGGTGTGTTGACTGATGCCTGTAATCCCAACACTTTGGGAGGCCAAGGTGGGTGGATCACGAGACCAGGATATCGAGACCAGCCTGGTTAACACAGTGAAACCCTGTCTCTACTAAAAATACAAAAAATTAGCCAGGTGTGGTGGCACATGCCTGTAATCCTAGCTACTCAGGCTGAGGCAGGAGAATCATTTGAACCCGAGAGGCAGAGGTTTCAGTGAGCTGAGATCGCGCCACTGCACTCCAGCCTGGGCAACAGAGCGAGACTGTCTCAAAAAATAATAAAAAAATAGAATATCATCTAGTTAGAATCATACAGTATGTGGTCTTCTCAGCCTTGGCGTCTCTCACTTAGTACTTGGATAAGAAATAATCTGTACAACAAACCCTCAGGGCACAAGTTTACCTGTATAACAAATCTGCATGTGTACCCCTGAACTTAAAAGATTTTTTTTTTTTAAAGGTTAGGTTCTGGTTAACTAGCTTCTCCTGAGGGCAGGCCCTGTTAGGAACACAGGGCTCTGACATATCTTAAAATTGTTTTTTTCCGTCCTCCTGTTGGAAGCACTAAACAATTTTCCTCTGGTATTTTATGTGAGAACCTTGTCAAGCTCCTAGAGGTAAAACTCTCAAAATTGTGGGGACCCTCCTATGACTGGGAATACCTGGAGTTTTGAACCCTTACCATTGTCCGTTCCAAGGCTGCAGTAATTCATCAGTTACGGTTCAAGTCATCTGACCTGGGAACTCTTTCCCTGGGAAGTTTCCTGAGTCTTTGCTCTGGCTAGCCAGGAATCCTTGTTTTTGCCTGTTTGTCTCACCAATATTGGAGGCAGTGATTTGCTCTGTGTGTCCTCACCTCTTGAAAATCCTAGGAGAGCTGTTCATTTTTTTCAGCTTGTTTAGCTTTTGACTTGCTGTTAGGACAGTATAGCGACTTCAAAGCTCCTTACAAGTAGAATCAGAAACTGAAAGTCTACTGTCTTTTTTTCTTTTAAACATACTTGCTACTGAAATGCATATCTTGGCATTTTATCATGTCTTATTTTGTATTTAGTTTGCTGTGTGAAACGTTTATCATGTTTCATTGGTCAGTACCTTTTCAATATGGATGCTATATTTTCTAGGATTGAAGTAGATGGTCATCCTGACTCCTATACAAACACATTACGGAAATATACTAGATCAGCACTGCAGATGGTAAGTGTCTGGTTGATACATGCAGTCTTTAGTTATTGTTCTAAACTATTTTAATAAATATTTTAGAATTCAAAATGTTGTCATTAGTTTCCTGAACTTGCCAACGAAAGCAGATTAACCTGCATAGCACAGCTGAATACAAACTTGCATGGTTTAGCTATTACTGAATATTACAATCTTATGCTAATTTTCTCAGGCTTGAAGATGTGTAATTACTTTTAACATCTCCTAACTTGAAGAAACACACCATATAGCCTGCGTGCGGTGACTCACGCCTGTAATCTCAGCAGTTTGGGAAGCCGAGGCGGGTGGATCACGAGGTCAGGAGTTCGAGACCAGCCTGGCCAAGATGGTGAAACCACATCTCTACTAAAAATACAAAGATTAGCCAGGCATGGTGGCAGGCACTGGTAATCCAGCTCCTCAGGAGGCGGAGGCAGGAGAATCGCTTGAACCCGGGAGGTGGAGGTTGCAGTGAACCAAAGTGGCTCCACTGCACTGTAGACTGGGCGACAGAGCAAGACTCCATCTCAAAAAAACAAAAACAAAAACAAAAAACCACCATATAAATGTAAAGTAGTGTGGGTATTAATAATCACCACATTCATGACTTTTATCCCCAGGTATAACCTGCCAAGTCTGTGATCACATTCTTCTAGCCTGTGTTACTCTCCTTGCCTGGTATTTGGAATTCTTTTTTTTTGGAGGGGGGTGGGGGATGGAGTCTTGCTTCACAGCTCTGGCTAGAGTGCAGTGCTGTGATCTCAGCTCATTGTAACCTACCTCCCGGTTCAAGCAATTCTCCTGCCTCAGCCTTCCCAGTAGCTGGGATTACAGGCGCCTGCCACCATGCTCAGCTAATTTTTGTATTTTTAGTAGAGACAGGGTTTCACCATGTTGGCCAGGCTGGTCTCAAACTCCTGACTTCAAGTGATTCGCCCGCCTCAGTGGGCTAATCCTAGCACTCCCAAAGTGCTAGGATTACCGGCGTGAGCCACTGCGCCGGGTACTTCCCTGTTACTTTGCTGGGAGCCTGTTCTTTCCTTTCTTCTATCTAGCATCTTAGACCAAGTTGTCATTATGTTGTATCTGAATTCCTAAAGCAAATTGTTTCTTTCTTGGGTTCTTTACCCTAGTTCATTTTCTTTCTTCCCCCAAGATCATCTTGAGGGCTAGAGGTGTCTTTGTTTCTTGACCATGAAGCCCAAATATGTTTTCCTATTGTGTTTCACATAAAGCCTAGACTTTCTTCTTTTAATTGCCCCTAGGGAACGCCCTTGTAGGACACCCTGAAGAATACCTTATTCTGAGCCATACACATTCTGAAATCTAATGTCTTTGTTTTGAAATCCTGTGGACTTTTTATTTCTTGCTTCTTGTTAGTACCTGAGTACTAACTAAAACAGTACCTGAGTACTGTTTTATTCTTTTTCCTAGCCTCCTCGAGGGTAAGAGAAGCCCCCATTGAGAACCAGCAAAGCATCATCCTATTCTAGGATTAGAGTCAGAGTAAAAGGGACTTTGGCAGCTGTTTGAATTCCAGCTTATTCTCATAACAGGAATTTCTTTGCTCGCTTGGCATCTGCCTGGAAGGCTCAAGGTTACCTTTTTCAATGTGGGACTTTCCTCCAAGGTCTTTTACCGCTTGAAGAGGAACTTGTCTCACTTTTACTCATTTAATCATCCTAGATTTGCTTTTTGGAACAATTTCTTTCTCAAGATATTCCGTTAAATAGTTTAAGGCATTATGTCAGATGGCATGGGGGAAGCATATCCACAATCTTGTGTGCCCCAAATAGTTGGAAATGATCCATAAAATAGGGATTAACAACCACTTATAAAACTGTTCAAATGCAGATGGAAATCTCCAAAGACCAGCAATAGAAGGGGATTCATGTATGTAAGTTGGAATCAAGATTCATGCGACTCAGATTTCAAAGACTGGCATCAGGCAGGAGCAGAACAAGCTGTGTAAGATAATAATATGCTGATGTAATAAAAAGACAGCAGGCCACATATTTACGTTGTACTTAAAATGTGACCTTCACAAATATGACTGGTGTAATAACACTACCAGGCATTCACAAGTACTTGATGTTTGGGGATGTGTTTTCTTTATGGCAGGTACAGACAGCTTGCAGATCAGTATTTTAAATGAGTCATGATGAGGAAATACATGTATATGAATAATAAAGAATTAAAATCCTGCCAGGTGCGGTGGCTCACACCTGTAATCCCAGCACTTTGGGAGGCTGAAGCAGGTGGATCATCTGAGGTCAGGAGTTCGAAACGAGCCTGGCCAACAATGGCAAAAGCCTAGCTGTACTCAAAAACACAAAATTAGCCTGGCATGGTAGTGCATGCCTGTAATCCCAGCTACTTGGGAGGCTGAGGCAGGAGAATCGCTTGAACCTGGGAGGCAGAGGTTGCAGTGAGCCGAGATTGTGCCACTGAACTCCAGCCTGGGCGACAAGAGCAAAACTCCATCACACACACACAAAAATAATTAAAATCCTATAAATGTGAGTTGGAATATGTAAGGCAGAAACAGAGGAAATGAAAGTGTTCCTGGACCAAACTGAGGATCGGGCTGCTATTTCTTGCTGCACAATAATGAGATGCAGATGAACTGGTGTAGAATAGAGTTTTTATTTCAGTAACTAGTTCTAAGGAGAAGGTCTGGAAATTATCGCCAGACCAACTCAAAATTACGAAATTTTTTAGGGCTTAAAAAACCTTCTAAGCTACATGTCTATGCTTAAGTGTGCATTTATCTAAAGATGTAAGTGATTAACTTTTCATCTATAACTGAGATCTGAGTTCTGAAGACCTTCCTCTGGAGCCCTAGTAAATTTCCTTAATCTAAATGGGCCCAGGTGCTGGGATGATTACCCTTATCTTGTCTCCTCATAAATTATGGAGGTTTGGGGTGTTCCTGCAGACCTCCAAAAAAACTTGTTTGTGGAGAGACCTTGGGAGTTTCTTCAGACCCCCAATAAAACTTGTTTAATCCTAAATGGTTCCTGTTAAAAATTCCTTCCTCATTTTGTCATGCTTTGAGGCCCAGGAAAGGCCCAGGCAAAACTCGTGGTGAGCTCTTGTTACATTCCAACCTTTGTATAAGGGCATTGACTTTTTTAGCTTTTAATATTGACCTTAACCACTCAGTACTGAAGAGTTGTGATGGAGGTCTGTGATGGAGGTCTGCGTTAGTGAAAACTGGCCTGCCACAAAAGTATATTCAGGTTACAGCTTTCTTTAAGGAAGTGAAACAGATCTAGTATTTAGGCTACAAGAATAAAAAATAGTCACTTTGCATTTAATATTAATCACTCATTTCTGAAAATCAGACTTTTGCAATAAAAATGCCAGTTGGGAACATAGTCCTCATTATTTTAAACAGAAAATCTTACAAATGTTCTATTTAAAATTATTATGGCTGGGCGCGGTGGCTGACGCCTGTAATCCCAGCACTTCGGGAGGCCGAGATGGGTGGATCACAAGGTCAAGAGATCGAGACGACCCTGGTCAACATGATGAAATCCCGTCTCTACTAAAAACACAAAAATTAGCTGGGTGTGGTGGCGCGTGCCTGTAATCCCAGCTACTCAGGAGGCTGAGGCA